AGATATATATTTATATATATACTTATTATATATCTACTATTGATAGAGAAAATGTTTTATACATACATTTATGTATGTATTTACCAGAGGAACTGGTCTCTTGTGAGGATTAGGGAGGGGAAATGTAAACTGAAATAATCTGGGACCTACTGTTAAATGTGAAAAAGATTTTGGAGACATGATTTCTGGAGATGGACAGTGTCTGTTCTGTCCGTGCTTTGGAAGCAAGGGTCAGATGGGACCTCTTGGCAGAGGCGATGCTCCTTCCTTGGGGAGCTCCCTCCTGCAAAGGGAAACAGAGGTCCAGCCTTAGGTGTGGTAGGTGAGAGTCAAAATACAAAGCTGGGAGGCTGCGTTTTGTGCTGATGGTCTGCGAGACTGCGGGAGGCAGCAAGAGGCCAGGCAGGCTTCAGAGGGAGGGCGCGTATGTCCAGTGAGTCAAAGGGATCAGGGTGCTGCCACTAAGGAATTCCCTGAGCTAAATGAAACAAAAGCAGAAACCATAGCCTGTCTGCAAAGACAAAGTAGGTGAGGGTGAATGCAGCTGTACTAACTTTGCTCTGTCTGATCTAGGCTCCTATGCCTGGCCTTTTTATACCGTTAGATACAACGTTAATAACGCTAGTCATGTCTAATAAAACCTGGCTCTGTATGTCTGTACGGTTGGGGTGAGGATTAAGGCTTTTTTCATTAGGATTTGGGCACCTCGCTATAAGAGAAAATGCTCGGCAACTCTACCTCAAGGCTCCAGGGAACTCGGGATCCCTCACAAAGATGAGCTCAGAACAGCTCAGCACAGCTGCTGTTTTGGGTACCACGTTTTACTAGCTGAAGGGGGCAAGGGCACAAAATGCAGGCCCATTGCCCTTGTGTCAGGATATTCTCGTCAAGGAGTTTCTTTTCAGCCTCACTGGCTCACAGCATATTTGCTGTAGTGCAAAGATGTGCTTTGGAAGTCAGACATGCATATCGTACAGAGCGCAGTGAGAAATAAGGGGCAAGTAAAGGACTGGTCGGGAAGTAGAATCCAGCTGAGGTTTAACGGGTTACGGTATGGCAGAAATGGATATTGCTGACAGTATCGTTCACTGTCTTGCTTTGGCTGCACCAGTGTTAAGTGTCCAATAGGCAAAGTGTCTAGAAAAAGCTGACAGTACAGTCCCATAAACAACAAGCAAACACACCTACAACTTTGCTCCTTCATAAACTCTGGAGGTACAAGAAACATTTCGCTCCAAAAGTGTAGTTCAAACTTCTGTTTACTTATCTCTAATCTCTACTGATTTCTCACAAATAATTTTATAGCACGGTAGGTGGAGTAAAGGTGATTAGAAACCCAAAACCTGTGTTTGGAATAGAAAGCTAAGCATGTTGCTGTGGTACTGCAAGCAAATTGTTTGTTCAATTAGCTGCCTTTTGTCAATCGGTTGAATCCTGGTAGATGGATGCAACTGTATTGTATTGCCGGTGGTTATTCTAAGGTTGTTTTGCTTTACTTCATTCCTCCTTCTCTTTCTCTGCCTTCTAGCATGCACTTAATTCAGGTGGACTCTGTTCAGCGATGGATGGAAGATTTGAAGTTGATGACAGACTGTGAATGTATGTGTATTCTCCAGTCCAAGCCAATCAGCATTGAGAAGGATGAACAAAATGAACTTATCCTTTCTTCACAATATAGCACGTGTGATAACTTACAGCTGCTATTAAAAAGAGCTTGGATCATAAGCACAGAGTTGACCAGGATTGCTCAAAAGCTGGAGAAGAATAGATGGCAGAGAGTCCACAGCATGACAGTAAGAGTCAACTGCCATGTACGTTCAATGATAAATGAATACAATATGTTCACCAGGAATTCTTCAGAAGAAATGCACCAGGTAGGATGCTGGTAAGGCATGTAACGTTTGTCTTGTTTAATTTTTTTATTGTAATAATTAAAGCTTACTTTAAACAATCTGTAAGAAATCCTTACATACTGATACTGATCCCTTGTTTAAGACATTCTAATCCCTTTTCAGTAATCCCTTTTCAGCTATGGAAACATGCTTGACTCATTTTGGATCCTTTTTTATCATAGGCCTGATTCTGAATATTAATAATGTTGACAAATTATGTTGAAATGTTTTGGTTTTGAGGACTACTGGACTAAAGTAATTAGATGCCCCATCTGTGAGTTCCTTCACATTTACAGTGTAGAAAATACTTTTTTTGTTAACTTCAGTTTTATCTCTACTTGTTCTATGCAGAAAAGTAGAAAAAGGGTGTCCATATGAAATATTATGTTTCTGGAGGGTTTTCATCTAATTGTTATAGACAAGCATTATTTATTTTTAAAAAGCAATTGTGTGTATGGATATTGCTTTAAAACACTTTCTCTCTCTCTGCAGTCTGAAAAACTTTTAATAGACAAGTGTTCAGAATTTACAGCATTCACAGAAAGGTAATTTAAATTTTCTAGTTGAAATATTAATTTTGCTGTTTTATTATGTTGTAGAACTTCTAAAGAGAAGTACAAATCTACTAACACCCTCAAATGTTAGAACTAGGCCCCTGCAGCTCTGAAAGGCTTTCTAAATGTTAGACTCTGAGGGGTGGAGTTGCTTTTATCTAAACTGCATCCTAATGAAGGATGGGATCTGCTGTTGCGCAAAGAGCCTGGCATAGACAAAGCTGCATGCAAGTGGATTTTTCAGGGCTTTTTGACATCAAGGGAGAAAGTCTGACTCTAATGATATCAGTGACAAAGTTCCCTTCAAGTTCTGTGGAGCCAAGATTTCAGCTGGTGTGAAAACTTACGTTGCGAGACAGTCGTACTACATGTTCCTGTATGCACATATCCATGTGTAAATCAAACCCAAATAAATACACATTCCTTTAAATTGCCGTTGTAGGTTTACTCAGCTCTCTGCACTCCAGAACGCTGAGACTGGAAAATAAGAATATCTTCATAGTTCTTCTCATGATATTTCCCTTGCCTGACATACGTTACCCTGTTTCCTCCAACACAGTTCAATCGGTCTTTTTTGATTTACTTTAAACACTGGGTGAGTCATTCCGCTTGGGGGATCATCAGGGAAAAAGACACCATCAAATTATCAGGAAAGAACATTTCTTAAGCACTATCACTTTTTGCCAAACCCACACAGCTCAGACTTTGCTTTTCTATTCTACTATGAGACATACTGATTTAATGAAAGCTCTGATCTCATAGTGTCTGACCCAGACCAGCCCTCTCCCTCCTTGTCTGTTTGACACAAAGTTGATATATATGGGTGAAAGACAGGCAAAGTTGAAACTACACCTTCCGTTACAGTGGCCTGCCTGGGTGGAATATGTTTTGACAATTCAAATGAATGCATTTCTGTGAGGAAGTTATTAGTTATTTCATTTGAATCATACAAAGCTTTCCATGTTTATCTCATTTCTTCAGTTACAGACAATTATCACTGGTTACAGGGTAGCCACACTAACTCTGTAAAGCTTCTGTATGCAATCTTTCTGCATAGATGGCCAAATTTTACTTTTGAGTATGCTGTTTAAATGAACTTTACTCATCTGGGCACACATTCATTTTGGGTCCTTATCCTGCTACACTTTAACTATGGCAAAGAAGATAAAGAAATGAAAATTACCAAAAGCACTTCTTTGGTCGTGAAAGATGGATGGATGCACACAGATGTACTTGAAACGCAGGCATCCTAGAGTGACCATAACTATAAATGCAAGTGGAAAATAGCAGAGTTACACTGGTATAAACACAGCATCTGTAGTAAAATTTGGCCTTCAGTCTGTGAAGTAAACTGTGATCCCAAATGTGTAGACAAAGCTTTGATTAAAGTCTGGTGTGATGCTAATGGCGCAAAGACAGTGTCCTCATATGAACTGTTGAATTCCTGTTATACTCCTATTATTAACACAGAGCTCACCTGCAACAATCAGCTTGATAAAACAATAGTTGTCTGTAGCATCTTTTTTTCCTTCATCCCTTTCCTTTCTCTTTCTTTTCAGGTGCATACAAACTGAAGATGAACAGATACTGAAGTCCATGAAATCTTGTATTAATGAAACACTCACTACTGTTGCTCAGTATTTTGGCCAGTTAATAGAGCTGATTTTAACACATGAGGCACAGGTTAGTTTATAGTTTAAAAAAAGTCTTTCAAAATTTTCAAGTCTTGAGGGAAAGCATCCATTAAGAGGAGGATTATAATTACAGCTCTCAATTTTCAGCAAACTTATCAGTAATTCAAATATCTTGTGAAGAGATTTAGGTGTTTGTTTTCTCAGCTTCTCCAATAACCTCAAATCCCAAACACAATGATCTTATGTGATCTTATGGCTCCATATGTGACTTACTTTTCCTGATAGGCCTCCTTCATTGCAAGGCATCTAATTTCTGGACAATGTCTTGTTAATAAGACCTTTGGACACATTTTCTCTTCCTTTCACGCAGAGACTGCTTTTCTTTAGAAACCTTGAAAAAAGTCTCTCTTGCTCTCAGTGATTCGCATTAGAAGTTAAACTTTTTAGAAGATGTATATATAGCAAGTATATTATTACAGCACACACATTTTAACCAGTGCATGTCTTACACTCTAGGAAGTAGTGATAAAATACAGTGCTGTGTACAGCTTATATGTGTGTGTGTAACCTTCCAGCAAATGTGCTGTACCATTGCAGGCGTGATGTATAGTTTCCAGTGGTGATTAAATGTAGATAAATACACTGAGTAATTAGGCTGAGGCTACAAATGCATTAATTTTTTTCCATTAGACCATTCTTGAAATAGTAGCAACTAGCAAGTCTAACCAATCTATCTTGGCTTACACTTGTTTCTTTCTTGATCTCATTAGTAATCCCTTTGCACCCTCTAATCTTCCTCAGATAAAAAAAAAAACCAAATGTAATTATGTTCAATTAATTTATCCATATTTTAGAGATGATGTTATGCTGAAATTTTGTGTTGTTCCTACAGAAAAAGAGGAAATGAGAAGTTTAGTGAAGAGGAAATAGTTAAATAGTACTTACTATGGTGCTAAAACAAAATTAATGCAGGATATTGGTTAAATTCTAATGTATCTTGATGCATTAAGATAGGAAAAAAAAAAAAAATTGTGGCTCTTTCCGAAAGATCCCTTATATTTTTAAAAGATTATTGCTAGGAAGTAAGAATCTCCTGAATATTATTTGCAGAGTTACAGTCAAACTGACAAGCTATTTGCTAATGTGCTTTGGTTGGGATTTATGAGAACTAAATGAAATGCCACATATGAGTTGAAGTGTGTAAATAAATTTGCATATTACAAATTCAGTGAGTAGATTGTCGTTGTTTTGATGCTTATTCTTTTTAATCAGAAGAGCAGTTCTTCATTAATAGTTCTGTCTTTGGGCACTTTGACACCTACTGATGCACCTGAAATCCCAGTCCCTTTTACTTTTAAGGGAGAGGAATAAATTGCCCTGCACCATCTTGTGTGTATTTGTGTGGCTGAAGACTTAGAGGTCATTAATAAAAACATTTTTAAGAACAGTTTTCTGAGCCATTCTGTCAGGTTGCATGCCCACCTCTGCCATACAACCACATTGTCTGTGGGTAGTTTGCTGCTCTGGAGCAGACTAAGTGTCTGTGTGAGAGGCCAGAACTCTCAGCTTAAATTGTATACTCAAGAGCTTTCTTTTCTAATCAGTGTATCAGGATTTTATTCAGGATAGCTTCATATCAAAATATGAACCGATAAATTTTGTCTTTTACGGAACATTTTTCTAAGGGGAGATGCCAAAGGTGGGAGAACACAGCCTCTTAAAGGGAAGATAATTGAATTTTGTATCAACAACAGTGTAAAATGTGGGATATTTCTCTTCACTTCTTTCAAAGTTGGATTAAATATAAAAAAAGCTTACCTTTTTCCTCCTAGCAAATATCATTAGTTCTTCCTCTAATGATTGTACATTTTAGAAAGAGTAAAACTAAATAAACATATTCTTCTGACAACTGTGTTTCTCTGTGAAGCTGCAATGGCACACATGCAAAAGCAAGATAACTACAACATATTTCATACATTGGAGAAATAAACTGTATTTCTCTATGAGAATTCCCTGTATTGGTCAATGACAATTTCTGTGTATACTGAGAATAGTGATGAACCTAGAGCCTTAGAAAGTAGTGTTAGGAAGGGTATAGCAATATTCCTTAAATAAGGAGGAAAACTTGTATTATCTTGTGATACAGCTTCAGCACCAAGACAATTAGTTGCCTTCTGAAAATTTGAGTTCAATTCCAGGCCAAACCAATAATAATTTACTAAATAGCTGAAGAGTTCTTTATTGAATGTTCTCACACACATACCTGTTCTCTTACTCTATTCATATTTATTTTTCAGCATCACTGTTCTTAGTTACATCTATTCAAAATGCAATGATAAATGAGTTGAAGTGTTACCAGTTTTACTCCTGGCCATGTTTTTCTTACTTTCCTTTCTCTGAGTGAGAATTAAGATGATATGGATTAAATGATCTGAACGTTCTACTCTGTCTTATTTTTAAATATAACACTAATGTTTTTCATTAGAAGTAAATTATGTTTATTATCTTATGTCACACAGAACCTGCTGAGACAAATAGAATTGTCAGACAGTGTGTACATCACTGAGTCAGCGATTAGTAGTTTATTCAGCCTTACCCAGGAAGGTGCTCATCTGTGCCGTATCATAGCTAAGGTAAGAAGATTTATGGATTAATCCAAAGTAAACTAGTAATACAAGTGAGTTATTTTACTTAACACAGTAGTGGTTGCAAGTTTTGAAATGTACAGTACAAGATGAAATTCTCTATTTCAGGAGACAATCTAGTTTAAAGAACAACAAAATTTACTCTGAGAAACTATTTTTTTCTTCTTTTGCTGCTTTTTGCAAGCCTTTCTTTCTTACAATCATCCTATTAGATTTTTTTTAAAAAAGGGGAAATAAAGGTGCAACGCCCAAAATCTTTAATTCAGTAAAGCTTAATGCCCGTGCAAGCAACTGCAGTAGGATGGTAAGCTCCAATAGGCTTCTGGGCATTGATTCAGCTACAGTTTTCTTTGTGCCACCTGATGTATTACCAATCCCTTCGGCACCCTGGGCATTTTTTTTAGTGTCTCTCCTGACAGAACTTTTTAAGTATCAGCCACAGAAGTGGAGAGAAACTTTACAATTGGTCATGCATATGGCTGACAAGTATACAGAGAAGCGGCAAGACTCTTCAACTGTGTGTACAGAGGAGGTTAGAGATATTATTAAAGATGTAATTTTAAAAATACTTTGCATCCATTATTTTCCTTTTGCAGAGGAACATCATTACAGTTAATTCTGGCAGTGTGTGTTCTCATTCACTGAGTAGTTGATGTTAACTTTTGGTATAAATGAATCATTCTGCAAAGATCAATGATACTGGCAATCCCTGCAGAGTTTGCACCTTTAAGGATGCTTGGATCTTAAAAAAGTGAGAAAGGCAGGACATTGTGTGATGTCAAGGGTAGGATAATCACATCCACAGTGTATATAGAAAGAAAACCTCCTTTCCCAAGCTTCTGCTTGTGGAGTGGTGTGCCAATCCCTTGTCCTGCTCAGAGATGAGGTTAAACAGCAGCATTTAATTCCTTTTACTTCTGATCTGCCTTTAGATGGATGTTTGCACCATAAAAGGGACTGTTCTGAAGGCTGCAAAGGAGGTAGACTCAGAAATGTGTAGTGGATCCTGGCAACAGCCTGAGAGGTTTAATTTTTTCTAAATTGATATTTGAGCTCCACTCAGTGGTATCCAAAACCAATGTTAAAATGTTGAGTATTGAGGAAGTGCAGAACTAAAAAAACTGAGTAAAATTGGTCTTGTGCTTTTTATCATTGCGTGAATTCCATAACAGTTTAATTTAGCAGAAGTAAAGTCTGACCTTCCATAAATCACTAAATTAATTTATTTTTAAAACCTGGGTGTGTCACAGGTTTACAAGTGAGGAAATGCATCCCCCTTATGCAAAGAACCCTAAGTGGTCTTTGGTTGTCAAATTACAGCAGTGATTGCACCGCCTGTCCTGTGTGTTAGTTTCCTCTGTGCACTTTGAAACACAGTTGTCCCAGCTCACCATCATTCTTCACCCTCTGTAGTGCCTCAGTTATCTGCATCAGTGAGCAAGGTGGCAGAGGAATTGTAACAGACCAGAATTTTGAATTCAGTCACTTGAGTAGTTAGCTATAATAGTGAAAGTGCAGGGTGATTTTGAAAAAAAAAACAAAACCTGCAACTGTGCCCACTCATTAAGAGGGTTAAAATGGATTCAATTTTTGTAAAGATCTCATAATCTCCCACAGATACAGAAGTTCAGTTGAGTTGTCCTTATCTTTCTAAAAACTAGCCAGAGAAGTGGAATATTTGTTTGCAGTGAAAGCAAAACTCAGTAAATTTGTTCATGTAAACTTGAAGTCTTACCCTCCATGACAATGCGTTACCTTGTGGAACACTCTTGTTAGGTATTTTTTCCCTGTCCCAAGCTATAAATTACAACTCTAATGCACAACAAAATCTTGGACATACAAACAAAGAACCATGATAATATCGTAAAGGTACAATATTATAGGTACTGGTTTCTCACTTAACATTTTTGGTAAGTGTTTCAGTCTTCTCTCTCCCTCTCTCTACTCCCCTGCCAATATTTTTATCAAAATTTAAACAGGCTTTGAAATGCCTGCATGTTGAAGTGTCACCTGTAATTTTATTCCACCTGGAGGCATTCTTCCACCTTTTTTTTTTTTTTTTTCAGCATGTAACTTCGTAATCTGCTGTGATAGAGTCATGTTGCTGACTCACCCTGGCAGCCAGCTAGTTGTTCTCACTAGCTGTCAGAAGTATAAAGACTACGATCTCTAACACAAATGAGTAGTAGCAAGGGCAAGATAAGAAATGAAGGAAGGAAGCCTAAATAATAATAATAACAAAAATCTTTGAATTCTGAGCTAATAGGATAACCAATGTTGAGCTGTGGGTTTTAAACTCTAATATCTAGCGTTCATCTACAAGCAACTACACTGGTGGCAGTGTAATGGAAACTCTACTGGTTTAGATAATTTTAAAAGCAAAAAGAGAAAACGAGGAAAGGAAGAGCCAACTAGAGCATTTGTTGCAACTACCAGAGAAAATTTTTAGTCAGGTTTCTGTCTGTGGATCAGTTTCCTACCCTTGGAACCACACATTGCTAAAATACTCCTCTGTCAAGTCTTATGGCACATATATACATCAAACAATGTGACTAACATGGTGTATCATTGCCTGGGGTTGCATTGCGGGGATGTATTCGCAAAAGTCTTTTTTATTACATTATGGTTGTATGGACTTTTTTAAAAATAACATTATGGATGTAGGGATTTGATGGATGGACTGTTTTGTGGATGAGGAATTGGCTGGATGGTCACATCCAGAGGATAGTGGTCAGTGGCTCAGTGTCCGGATGGAGATCAGTGACGAGTGGTGTCCCTCAGGGGTCTGTACTGGGACCAGTGCTGTTTAATATCTTCATCAATGACATAGACAGTGGGATCGAGTGCACCCTCAGCACATTTGCAGATGAGTCCAAGCTGAGTGGTGTGGCTGACATGCCTGAGGGACAGGATGCCATTCAGAGGGACATGGACAAGCTTGAGAAGCAGGCCCATGTGAAGCTTGTGAGGTTCAACAAGGCCAAATGCAAGGTCCTGCACCTGGGTTGGGGCAATGCTCAGTATCAGGACAGGCTGGGGGATGAAGGGATTGAGAGCAGCCCTGCGGAGAAGGACTTGGGGGTATTGGTGGATGAAAAGCTGGACATGAGCTGTCAATGTGCACTTGCTGCCCAGAAAGCCAACCATATGCTGGGCTGCATCAAAAGAAGCATGGCCAGCAGGCTGGGGGAGGTGATTCTGCCCCTCTGCTCTGCTCTGCTCTGGTGAGACCTCACCTGGTACTGCCTCCAGCTCTGGAGTCCTCAGTACAGGAAGGCCATGGACCTGTTGGAGCAGGTCCAGAGGAGGGCCACAGAAGTGGTCAGAGGGATGGAACACCTCTCTCTGTGAGGAAAGGCTTGAGAGAGTTGGGGTTGTTCAGCCTGGAGAAGAGAAGGCTCCAGGGAGACCAAGTCTTTCAATACTTGAAGGGGTCTTATAAGAAAGATGGGGAAAGACTTTTTAGTAGGGTCTGTAGTGATAGGACAAGGGGTCATGGTTTTAAACTGAAAGAGGGTAGATTCAGGCTAGATATAGGGAAGAAATGTTTTACGATGGGGGTGGTGAAACTCAGGAACAGGTTGCCCAGAGAGGTTGTAGAGGCCCAATCCCTGGAAACATTCAAGGTCAGGCTGGATGGGGCTCT